AAGTACAACAACAAATTCAAAATGTTTCTTGTCCCTGCCAGCTTCATTTTTTGAGGCAGCCTGTAACCTGTGCTGAGTTGGTCTTTATTCATGTCTTTTTCTTTGGAAGGTGAAAGGAGTGGTCTGCTTGTAGTCCAAAATCTGGACTTTTGTCTGATTGGCATATTTCCACCAAGATACATTTATCTTATCCTAAACGATACGTCTGAGGGGTGGTTTGGCCGCACCATGGTTAGATGCTTAGTTAATTTTGCAATTGGCCCAGCTGTCAAACTCAATCAAGATCCACAGTGACACAAAACACAATTTGGTTTGTCTCAAGAAAAGTTCAAAGTCTGGCCTCGGCCTAAGTGCACTTGCCTACTGCATGGGGATACATTGAGCTTTCTTTACAGTCAAGGAATTGGATAGGACAACATTCTCTACACTTCCCTCGTTGTTATCTCTCCCAGCCATTTCTGCTAGGTATATAACAAATCCCTGTGGTTTTTTCCTCAGGGATTCTACCATTAAATTGCAAAGCAATCTAATCCCCCATCCTGGGCTAAAAATTGGCAGCAAATGTCAACAAATCCAGGGGACCATGCCCACATAAGTCCCCAGGGAGTATTGACTCCCCTACCCCTGGGATGACATTGATAAGTGCATCATTAGACTTCAGAGTCATTTTTTTTACAGAAGGTGCTCCATCAGTATAGTAGCCTTTTCTTCTGTTACTACTACTGTATGATACTTTAGTGAAAAGTGTCAACCAAAAAGTCAGTTTTGGATCAACTGCAAAGACAGCAAGAATGTCCCAACAAAGTTTGTCTTGAGAACCTACCTACCTACCTTGCCTCTTCGAGCTCCATTGCGCAGAAGACCACTGTCTTGAGAAATTTGACAATTGTTATTATTTTTTATTTTGTCTTATTTGTAACTGAAACCATTTTTCTAAGCACAGGAATTATTCTCTGTTCCATAGCTTGCACAGCGAAACACTCCAATCCATCCATGGAATATCTCAAACCTTCCTGAGGGATTTTCTTTGAGCGTCAAAAGGGATGACTTAACTGGCAGCACTTTGTCTGGAAATAAGGTGAAGTCATGTAATACAAACAGTTTAACATACCTTACTTGTGATAAAAAGTGCTGTTAATTCTATCAAAGGGCATGTCAAATCTTAATAAGCTCTTAGGTCATGCTATAAATATATTAATTTATTATTCATTCAAAATATTTCTCTGTTTCTGATTGGCTAAAATCACATGCATAATTCATAACCAGCTACTGTGTACCCAAATTTGAAAGAATTTTGTGACCTAGGTAAGTATGTTTTAGCTTGTTTTTAAACTTGGAATTAATTTTAAAAAATGGACAACAACTTTAAGTTTAAAACTTTAAGTTTGGAATTATTTGGAATTATTTTGATTGAATAATAAAGCAATTTCTCAATTTGAAGAATTCTACAGATTTCGTCTCGGTGGGTGTTACGCACCTCGGCCTTTGGCCTCGGTGGATAACACCCTCCTTGATATGCAGAATTCTTCATATCCTACAAGAGCCGAGTTCAATAATTGCTAAATATATATATGTAATATTTTAAATTTTTCTGAGAAAAAGTAAGAAAATAAAATAAAATAATTTTGTTAGAAAATTTCCCTATTATGCAACTTGTTGTCAATAAGCTCGATAACCATAGAGACGCATGGTGTTCTTTAGATATGACACTCTGAGGTAGAGTTTGTGTACACTACTCCTGCCATTTCATTTCATTCCTAACTGTCAATCCAGTATTTTTATAAATACATGTAAGTTGATTCTAAATTTTTTATTCTCCTTTTCTCTTAGCCCTTAATTATTTGTGATCATGAATAGTTGCAGTACGTTACGGTACATATAAATTGAAAATCAACCTAAGTTAATGATTAACCATTTTAACCTGAACAATTTTATTTTGACCTATAACATTTACTCCCTAGTTTTGTCATAATTGTTTTATTGTGTGCCATGTTATAGGTACGGAAGTTGGAGTTTCTTTTAGCTGATGCACTGAATAAGAAGTGCGACACTATTTTTACATGTGGTGGAGTGCAGTCAAATCATTGTAGAGCCACTGCAGTAGCAGCAAGACAGCTTGGCTTGGATTGTTATTTGTTTCTTAGAAGCTCTGAACAGGTTAGCTGTACTGTATGTTTTCTTGCAATGTACAAAATGACCACCTTTTTACATCGGTTACCTTTAATTGATTCCCTTGCTGTTTGCACCTTTCCACATTAGCTCACATATTTAAAGCTATGGGAACCAGAAAAACATTCCTCGAACAAGGGTTGAGAACCAATAACAAATTCAATGCAATGTTTGGTTTCACTTCCACAATATTCAAACCTGGGGTACATTAATAATAATTGTAATGGATGTGCATGCATGCTCTATAAAACTCTTGCACTATTCCACCACCCTTGCGCTGCCATTTTGAATCCTACATTAAGTTTATTAAAAGGTTTATAATTTCTTATTCCTCTACACCGTAGCCACCTTTAGAACTACTGGTATACACAATAGCAATCTACTGCACTAATCAATATGTTGCCTTGTGTCGTTTGAATTCATTTTTTGTTATGTGTGTCACCAGGCACTAATATTCCGACACAGTCAACTAGCTGGAGCACACTTTTAGAAACCTCTGTAAAAAGGACACCTACTGTTGGTTGCTTCCCTTCCTGTTTTCAGTCATTTTCTGCAACTAGTTTCTCTAAATGTGACAGACACCTTTCTACAAGTCCCGAAAGTTGGTCCTGATTCCCACTATGTTTATCTTAGAGAGAGTTAATTGAATTTCAATTATTTCTGTTAACTTTTAAACTAAGTTCCCTCATGGGAGTGCACTGTCGAACACTTTGTTGATTCCTGTTCATGTTGATGCAGTCTACAGATATTGGATGTAAAGGAAATGTTTTTCTAAACAAAATGGTTGGAAGCTGTATTATTGTTGTTCCAAAACTTCAATATAAATCAGGCCTTAAACAGATGATGGAGAAAATGGCAGAAAAATTGTAAGTGGCTATTATGACATAACAAGAGACTACAAAAACCTTTTTTATAGCTGAAACATTCTTAGTGGTATACATTGTATGATCATGGGACTTCTGGCAAAAGATCAGGAAACCCTACACTTGTATTGGCTACCTACAAATTGTAAACTTAAGGTTTTTTGTCCCCCCTCATCAAAAGAAATTTGATTTCTAATTTCTCTTTTTGCTTCTATTATTAAGTACACTGAAGCCAGTGAATATTTTTTCATACTCATCAAATAATAATACCTGTCTATTTTTTTTATTACATGTAACTGATTTTAGAATATTGCTGGCCAACTCAAAATTTCCTTAAAGGCCAAACCATATAGTAGTTTCAGTGCTATTATTTGTTAGTCTCATTTATTTTCTCAGAAAGCAACAGGGATCATCAGCATATTTGATAGAGATAGGTGGTTCATCTTACACAGGGATGTTTGGTTACTTGACTGCATTTCAAGAGATGATAGAACAGGTACAAGTTATTTGTATGGAATGGGTTAATATGTGACATGCATTTTGTATGTCAAAAGAAAATTCAGGTTAATAATTTTTTTAACCTGGGTAGATTTATTTCATTTGTCTTTTAACCTTGCATGTAATTATTCATGAACTGGGCTTAATAGGAGGCAAAGAAAATTGAGTAAAGTAGGTTTAAAAAACTGAATTTAATTTTGCCTATAATACATGACATGAAGCTATTCAAAAAATGATTTCTAAGGTCTAGTAAGTGACTGTTCATCTAAATATTACTTTCAATTTCTCCCTTTTTTTTCAAGTAGACAAAACAAAGGTAAGTTGAATAGAAATTGTACATGTATATTGTTGCACTGATCAGAATGCCTTTGACAGAACTTTTTTCCAAAAGGAAGCATCTGAAATGTCAAACATGGTTGCCACAGGCTAATTGAATTAAGGGCTGATCAATCCAGGTCCATACATGTATATTTTTAAAATTATTTTGCTTTTTTTAAGTTGTAATTTGTGAGATCTTAGTAGTTTTCACTTATTGTTTGGATGGTTTTCATATTTATTCAGAATGTGTTGGAAGATTATGATGATATTGTAGTTACTGTCGGCAGTGGAGGAACAGCATCAGGAATTGCTATTGGCAATTACTTGACTGGCTCAAAACTCAAGTAAGGCTCCAGTTTGCATTTAAATAATAGTTATTTAGAATCAATCATGCATTTGCTTTGTTAAAAGAGATACTTTTACTTTGCTCAAAATGTGGTCAGTTTTCTATGGTTTATGACTAAATGCAGAAAAGAATAATTGCCAATTTTCTGCATTTTTTTTCTCTGTTTTGGAAAATTTATCATAAGGGTTGATATAGATCCTTCAAAGGCAAAATTGCTCCATGTTTCCCACCTGCTTTTACTAACAGAGGTGGTTTTCGTGGCAAAGCAAAGTAACATACTGGAAATTAAAAAAAGTACAAAATGAAAGTAGAGTATATAGAAAAAATAATTGAAGCAAAATAAATTAATTTTTTAATTTTAAGGCCATAATAGTGGACTACTTTGTAAACAATAAACAACAACAACAAACAGAAAAAAATCACTGGCCTTTAAAAGCAGTAGTTAAGGCACTTTCTGGTCAGTCAATAAGAAATAAAGGAGGAAAAGCAAAGCAAAGCAAACTGTCCCTATTGCAATTCAAAACCTATGCTTGCTTTTCTTTCTGCTTTTCTTCTGCTCTTTTGTTGGGAAAAGTGAAATTTTGTATCTTTATGGCTCGGCCAGTAAGATTTGGAAAAAAATTGTGGATGTTCTGCAAAGACTAATTAAAGAGATCTACTGCTTCTTAAGGAATTGTTCATGAGTTTACAGTTGATAGTTTAATCGGCTGAACGTCCAGTGGAGGGGGTTACTCCCTATAATGACCTATTTGGGGAGACTCCCCTCAAAAGGGTACCATTTTTTGGGCTTCAGCAGGGGCGTAGCCAGCCCATAGACCTGAAGGCCCAGGCCTAAAAATTTTTCGTTTGATCACTCTACCACTTGTAATAAACTATGCGTTGTTGGGGTGAACAAAGAAGCTTCTTTAAGACCTCAAAGTGTTGGTGAGGTCAGTGTGTACTAGTCATGCGTGCAATTTTCAGGATGTGGAAATGAAAGTCTGCCAGGCCTACAACTAGTCAAAAAGCTGGCTACACCCCTGTTCTGGTACAGTGTATAAGAAAAGGTAGGAATTTCAAGTATGCGAAAAAGTAGGGAAATCGGTGATTTTGGTCACACTGTAACTAAGGATCAAAAGGGCTGACATATGCATTATTTTTATGGCTGTGAAATAGTTGAGAAAATGCTCTAGCTTAATGGTTTATTCATATGAAAAGACAGTGAATTTACAGCAGCTAAAAGGGTTGGAAAGTTCTAATCTAGGTGTGTGAAAGGGGTACCATTTGTCAATAGAAGGTATACGAAAGGGGGACCTTTTCTGTAAAAAATGGTATATATGTAAATGGGTAAGGGATTGGACCTTCAGGCAAATCCTCCCCGTATATAACTTTGTAAAAAAAATTAAAGCTGAGAAAAATTTTGCCTCTTTTCAACTTTGTAGATGCCATGCAGTCAATGTGTCTGACAATGCAGCTTACTTTTACAATAAAATCAATGAAGACCTTAGGAGAGGGGGAGTTGATGTCAAAGCAGAAGATATTATAGACATTATTGATGGCTACAAGGGGGGAGGATATGGTGTGTCAACTC